GAAAAGGAAACCGGGGGGGGGGGGGGAGGAGAGAATTGTACTTTCAGATTTGCAAGATTCTGACAATGTAGCATTACAATAAAGTAGAATTAGCTCATCTGGTTGTGATTCCTATCTGATTTACCCCACGAGGCTGATAATGCATTACCCGAAACCATATATTAAACATAGTTTGTTGACCAAGCTGTAAAGGCTTAGCCACATAGTAAGCCAAAATGCAATGAATAATCAGCATATGAACCTGGCCTTGGTGCTCTTGAACAACAGCCCTTATCTGTTGTGTTAATGTGTTTCTTTCTTTAGCGAGAAAACCCAACCAGAACATTTCCTGAATTAAAAAGCAACTTCCTGGAAAATATGGGACAACTGAAGATCCGCATGACTTATAATGACTGGAAGGTAAGTGTCTGCCATTCCTGGAGTCCTCTTCCTCCTCTTTGGATGCCCCCAATTTTCTCTCCTGAATCCCCATCCCTCTCCTGTGAGTCTCTGACTTTCTTATCAAGACCTTGGACTGCCTTATCCTGATTTCCATTATCTATGGGAGAGTCAAGTATAGTCACACCAGAAAAGCCTTTCTACCTTCTTTTCTACTTACATGAGAAACATCTGCAGCCTTTTATGGATCTTCAACAGCCCTCTGCGATAAGGATTGTTCCCTAAGGGGTTAACAGGGAGGGGAAGAACTATAGTGGCCTTAATTTAATATAATTAATCTTCAGTAATGATACCTGGTCTCTTTGCAGGATTTTGAAACTTGGATGCACAAGTGGCTGATCTTCCAAATGGCCCAAAAACAGAACTCAGAAGAAAAGGGTATGCATGCTAGACTTGTAGGAATGAAACGACTTTTAAGCATGAACTAAGGAAATTCTCAGAGCCAAAGGATGAATCCATTCAATTCAGATCAGATCAAAATATCATATTCCATTTGTGCTTACCATCCATAAAGAGATGTAGGAAATGAATAGGAACAACAACAATATTCTAGAAGGCAGTTTAAAGTGTTGTGATGCTATAAAGCTCTGTGTGGGGCGTTAAATACTAAGGTATATGCAGAATAAGATTTTTCTCCTCCATCCCATTCTATGTAGCCTCACTTATTCATAGTTTAGCATCAGCAGTTGTTTCTGTGTGTCCAACCAGCAATACTGAATGACAAGGTCAAGGAAATGCATAGTGTGAGGACATCAGGGCACAACAGAAATGAAACTACGTATTATCAGGGTTCATGGGGGAAGAACTCAGTGGTTACTGCCATTTTTGATAGAGAAGCCCCACGTTCCGTATAAGGATTCAAGGGGACCATCTTGCAAATAGAACTCTTGCTCTTTTACAATGGGGAATTTGCCATTTTCATGGATTCCTTCTTGAGCTGCAGCTCTCCATGGTCCTCCCATCCTCAGAATTAGCTGGGATGGAGAGTGGGAGGAGAAAAAACTCCCTTCCTGCATGGACTAGTTTGTGGAAACTAGATCAAAGTCTGAGTCCATTCTCATTCAAGCCAAGGCGGATCACTCACTCAAAGGCAATGCTCTCCCACTAGAAGTCTTTTCTAAATGCAAATTTGTTTTTAATTGATGGCAAGGGGTATTGCTCCACTCACTCTTAATGCCAATGTCACTTGAATTCAATACCATACAGTTGAATACAGTTGCCAGCTGTAGAGTTATATTAATGCATTATTCTGTGCCCTTCAGTTCCTTTTTGCATAAAATAAACCACCTGGCTTTGGCCCTGCAACAACGTATTTCTGAAAGCAACATCTCCAGGGGATTCCTAGAGGATGGTGCCAAGGAATATTGCAGTTTGGGTATAACTCATTCTGTAAAATATTTAAAGCCCCTCTTGGTATAAATTGACCGACGTCTTAAGATGGGAAGAAAGTGTTCATCTTCGTTAGTTGCCTACATTTATCAAGGGGTCAGGTGATGCTCTATGTCAGTAGTAGACTTAGTGAGCAAGAGAACAAGAAGGATCATAAAGTGAAAACGGCAGCCAGGCCACTGCTTTCCCTTTGCATCCCTTCTTCTTTGCCAGGGCTCCCTGTTGCCCATTGAAGGGGCCGATTTGCTTCGTGCCTTTCAACACACTGGACATCATTTTTGGGGTCTTTCTGGATCAACAAATGCAGAATTAGCATGACTTTTGGAACAAGCTATTTATGCAGTACTGATTGTTTTGCTACTGCAGGATGCTTGACTTGGGAATCCATTGTATCTGAAACTTCTTGTCTTTCTACAAAGAAGAGGCAGTGGGCAAAAAGACAATGTACTTGCCAACTTATTGAGCCTGGTGGTTGACGAGCTTTTCATGCTGTAGAGCCCATAGTTTAGAAGGAAAGAGAAGAAAGAGAAAGCATTGAAAGTCACAAAGTTGAAGAATGTCCACTCGCGTGCGGGTACACACACACACACACGTATGTCTGGCAATAAGTGATTCATTTAATACTTCAGTGACAAGCTAGAGGTTGCACCCGTGAGGAAGGAAGGAAGGCCTGAGATGCAAATTAAGATCCACTTCAGTATAATTTAAAACCCCAGGGAACATCTCGGGCATTTCAGCAGCCTGAGTAAAACCCCCAGTAAATGATTTAGTAACGCTTCCAAAAGTGAAGGTCAAGTTGGCTGCAAACTTTCAGTAACAAACTTGGGTACCAAACTTGTGTTTAAAAAGAATTCTTCCTTCTGTGATTTCAGCAGTTTTTGAGATCAAACCCCATGGCTGAGATTTTCATATCAATTAGCCACCCAGCAGCCATCAGCTGCAGCCCCCATTAGCAGAATTTATATTAATACTACCTCCATCAAACAGTATTCATTAGCATTTGCTCTCATTAGGCTAAATGGTTTCCCTGGGAGCCATCCCGATGAAATAGCTGTCCTAATTAAACTGGCATATTGTTACAAAAAGCATTATTTCCATATCCTTCCCTTTCCCTTGGTGTAGCTACAATGGAACAACCTGTTTTGATGATTAAGGAGCAGTCTACACTGTCTGCCAAACCATATGTTAGAACTTGGCTTGGCGCTTCCAAACTGCTCAGGTGTGGGGCAATAGACTTGGGTGTTCCCCTTCCCTTCTAATGTGTATTGCGTATACAAAAGCCCCCCACCCCACCCCCCGGGGCAAGCTGTACTGAATGTCTCTCCCCAATAGGCTAGTTTTCTGGAGTGTAGTTGGGTCACATCCCAAGAAACACTTCATTTCTGAATTATGCTTAATATATAAATTGGTCACATGCTTAATTACATCAGCACTGGAGGACCTGTGTCCCTTCAGATGTTGTTGAAATTCAACTCCCATCATTCCTGGCTGTTATCCTTGTGGGTGAGGCTGAGGGGAGTTGGCACTAAAGACTATCTGAAGGTCGTCTTCCTTCTTATCTTCCTATGCTCTCTTCTGAAGGCAAGGGACATAACTTGTGATTTACAAGTGCATGAAAGGACATGGAAAGTGGCTGGCAATCAGCTCTAAATGCTAAATTTCCTTGGTTCTCCCTTTTTTTTTTTAAAGTGAAAACCAAATGCCAGCAAGAAGAGTGTGGTAAGGGTGTCCATCCGGGAAGATTCTGTGCCAAGTGTGATGAAAAGGGGGACTATCTGCCTAGGCAGTGCCGGGCCAGCAGTGGCTATTGCTGGTGTGTCTACCAAAATGGCACAATGATCGAGGGCTCTAAAATCCGTGGACGTCCAGAATGTGCTGGTAAAGAGCTTCTTTGTGCTATCGAGGGGGAGAGTTGCCCATAGCCACTGTTGAGTCAGCTGGTTTATTCAGTTAGGCCACAGCAGCTCTTGATGGCCTGTTCCTAGGAGATAATCAGCTCACTCTGTCCTCACCAGCTCTGAAGCTACATGGAGCCAAAGGGGTGGCAGGATGGAAACCACTGATGTATTAGAAGCAGTGTCCTTTCCTTTTCTTGCACCATCATACATTCTGTATAGCACAAACACAATCTCACAAACCCACCCAAGGATTTACATAGGTGCTGCAAACCAGAAGGCAGCTTAATCCAGACCAAATGGAAGTGCTGTAGGTTAGTAGCCAAGCTAATCTAGGATTATAGGTACATCCTATTCAGAAGAAAGCTGCTTTTCCTTCACTAATGGATCAGGTTTTTGGATTGGAACTGCTTTGCTTTTAGAAGATGAGGTGGCTTTTTGCAAAGCCAGGATAGCTTTCTCTCAGTTTTAAATGGCGTGTCAGTTGGACAGTTCCCGGAGAAGGAATAGAGATTCTGAAATACCCACAATGGAGGAATGGTTGGTGAAGATGACAAAATTTGCAGAGATGGCAAAATTGACTTGTTTGATTAGGGAAAAGACAACTACATTTGTCAGTGACTGGAAACCTTTATGGGCTTTTTGCTGAAAATGGGGGAAAAAACTTGTGATTTATGGGATTAGAAAGGGTAGAATATAGAAAGAAGGAAGCCACGATATAACTATATATATATAGAGAGGATAAAATATAAATGCATTTATAACTGCTGTAAAGAAGATTGGAAGCCACTTCTTTATATCTTTTTTTCCTTTCTTTCCAATGTTTTCTCCTGTATTTCTTACTTATTTACTTATCACTTTACTTTTTCTTCTTTAAATTTGTATTTTTATTCTGTAAAAAATTTCTTCAATAAAATATATATTCCATTCCACCCCACTCACCACCACCCTGCAACAAAACCTCACCAAGGAGGTAAAAAATGTTGCGCTAATTAATTCTTTCAAATGTAGAAACAGATCTTTCAGCTCTTTGAAAGTGCTAATATTTTTCTCTGTCTCTATAGGCATTTTAGATCCTGAGAATGTGACATATTCCGGAGATCAAAACTGATGGACCACTTCAGGTGACTTAAGAACCCTGTTTAATCTTATCAGAGGCCTATCTAGGGCAGTATCCCGCTTCTCAAAATGCTTAGCCACATATAGCTATGGCAGCCTTCCCCAACTTTAGGTGGCTGGACGTTCAGTTCCCCCACTTTCCATCTGCACACTCTTTGGCTTGCTGGCTAGGAACTGGGTTGAAATCCCACCTATCTGGAGATAGCAGGTTAGGCAGGGCTGGCCTAGGGGGGCTGTATGGGGCATTAGCTTCAGAGCGCCTTATCATACTCATTTCCCAGCCAATGCTACCCACCTCTGATTCTGAAGATAGTGTAGAGCAGTGTTCCTCAACCTAAGCAACTTTAAGCTGTGTGGACTTCAACTCCCAGAATTCCCCAGCCAGTCATGCTGGGAGTTGAAGTCCACAGAGCTTAAAGTTGCTGAGGTTGAGAAACACGGGTATAGAGCTATCAAGGCTAGTAGTAGTGACTCATTTCTTACATTAGCTACAAATATCTACCATGCAGTGAAGTATTGCAATTCAAATGTTATTCTGAAGGGAAGAAAAATCTGGATTACATTCAAATGGCCTAATACACTGCCAGATGTGTGGGTTTCACAGATCCCATGCTTATGATGCTTTTATATGCATAAGTCCAACTGGACTGCAGGGCATGGAGATGTCTTGATACAAGCTCTTTATGCTCAGTATGCTGGAACAAAAAAACGTTATTTAGATGTCAAAGTCTGTCTGTCTGAAGAACATATGTATGGATATAAAAGCTAAATGAGCATCTTTCTTGAAATGATTTTAACATACTTCTTGTAAAGGCATTTTAAATATTTAGAACTGTGCATTTAAAAAAAATGTTTAGAAAAACACCATTAACTTGCAGGGGAAACGGTCTGGGTGAAAGGAGTTTGTGGCAGTATATAGCTAGGTGAATGCTGCACAGGGTATGATTAAAACATTTAAGATTGGTTTATATCTTGAAAATATGACATGGACTTTCCCACTTTAAAGAGACTAAGCTAGACTCATATCCTAGTTTTGTTTCTGGAACTAGTCTGGTTACCATTCACTTTTTTTTTTCTCTCCTTTCTCCTTAGAAAATGTGAAAGGCGGCGGCCAGCATCAGCTTAAGAAAGCCAAACTCTCTTCTTCAGCTTGTTCTAGTTTTGCTCTGCTTGGGTGTTGATTTCTTGAATTTCAGTAGCAGCAACCGCTTCTAAAGTCATCAGCTTAAGCATTATTCTTAAGGGAAAGGAGGAAAGGGGGAAAAGTGGCTTAATTAAATATTACTGCTGACAATGCTTAGTGCAGAATTATCTTTTTAGAAAAGTGACCTGTGCTTATCCAGGACTTCAACAAGTGAGCAAGAAAGTTAGATGTTTCCCTGTATCATCTGTTCACGAGACTCCCCCAGAAGCTTCGGTGGTTAATCAGTTGAGAAGGTCATCCACTGCAAATATTTCAACAGCAACGGGCCTGAAATAACGCAACATCTTCTGTTTCATAGGTTCTGCTTGCCATCAAACGAGAATTTTAAAAATGGCAAAGATGCCATTTTTCCAAAATGCTTTCCTACATTTACCATATTTGTAGGAATGAATAGATAATGCCCTCTAAAGCAACTTTCCTGAACCGGTGCCCTCCAGATGCAGAAATTACACACCAGAACTCTAGGCCAGCATGATCCTGGATGATACTGTCTAGGGATTCTGGGAGTTGTAATTAACACATCTGGCAGACACCACGATGGGGAACACCGCTTTACAGGGAAGGAGACATCATTACTTCCAGAAAGCTCAGCCTCTCTAACCAGGTAGAATTGGTAGCATATTTTTGCAAGAGCAGCTTAGTATTAGAGCTCTGTCTGTGTGTGTGCTTTCTTTAGTAGCATCCTTAACAGAAGAATCTTTAGAATTGTTAGTGAGCAAGTTAGGTAAGCAAAGGAAGTCTTTAAAAATACTTCTAATGATGATAGGCTTGAAGTTTATATACCAAATCCTAGTCTGTGGTGTGCTAATGATGTATACTGAATATATAATCCCTGATAACTCACTAAGATGATGATTTTAATTATATGCTTTTGCAAAATAAAAAAATAACCAACTAATGAAGCACTCTTGTCTGCTGAAGTGGATGATTGACCCTTTCACATGCGAGCAACCCCCAGGCTGCCAGAATATCCTCTCCTTTGAAAAACTGCAGTTGCTGAAAGGAGATGCTGCAGTATTTTGCTCAGTAATTGCCAATGATGCTATTATTCCTTACACACTTTCATTTGCCTACGCAGTCAGAAGGCAAGTGTGATGGGCTGCCGCCTCTCCTTTTAGCCCCTCAGGCTCCAGAGAAGGGGGTCTATATAAAGAATGGCTTTCACACAATATCCTAGGCATGACCTTCAGAAGTAGGTTGCAACCATTTTAATGGGCTTTCTTCCATGATGACATGCAAAGGATTGGGGCCATACTGAAGTTCTGCTTAGAGAAAGTGAACCATGCCAGTCACCTGTGATTTGTGGACATCCATACTAGGTTGGCCACCACAAGGTGCAATGTATAGAGATGGGTTTAATACAACTTGGTCAGATCCAGCGGAAGCAAAATGCCACTCTATAGTTATGCAGGTGTGGGTGGAGTAGGTAGGGGATCAAAGCATAAACAATTGGCTTACATAAAAACACTTATCTGAGGAGCTTATTCCCAATACTTGGTTCCCCTTTTGTATGATCATTTTCATACTTTGCAACAACATACTGCCTATGTTAGCCTAACTCACTGAACCATAAACTAACCATCTGCCCATTTTAGCCCAGCACATTGAGCAATCCCAGCCTGTGCAGTTGATTCAGGGTGTGGTGTGATAAAAGAACACGGTTGGGGAAAAAAAAACGTGGTAAACTGTGGAGAGGTGGGTTATGCCAATATAACCACTTTCTTAGCATCAACTTGGCTGTGAGGTCCAGTGGATCTCTTGGAGAAGTGTAGCAAATGGGTACTAGCAAACATGTTGGAGTAACACTGAAGTATGGAGTCCTTGGGGTTCTGAACTTGGTTGTTTTCGTTACCCGGCTAGGTAACATCTTCAGTGCAGCCGGGTAACAAAACATTTGCAAGGAAATAACCAAGTTCAGAGAACTCCAAGGACTCCACAGTTCAACCCTGAGCTACATTCTCTTCTACTGGTAACACTGAAGTAGTCTAATTTGTAGCATAAAGCAACTTTCCATGTTTCTAAACTTGTTCTTATGTCCATGTTTTCCAAATTGAAAACAACATGAGCACATCCACAGGAATTAATGTAATTTTGTACCCAGTCTTTTCACAGGGTACAAAATATTTACCAAAAGTAAAATGAACAAATTAAACATTAAGTCAAACGTTACCATTTCAAATAAATACAATTCAAAAAATGTGTTTGAAGAAGTGTCGAGTGAGAGGATTCTAAACACAGGAGAAAGTCCTCTCTTGCATTACCCAACAAATGGCCTTTTGAAAATTGGGGCATATTTCATGACAGCTTCTCTCTAGCTATTCATGACTAACCAAGTTCATAATAAAAGAAATGGTTCCCCAGGCCATTTTCTGGATATGCCAAGGAAGTATTGGAAACTAGCGTAGATCTCTCAACTGCTTCCCTGGAATAAGAGCAGGCATCTCCAAAGCTGTGTGTGATTTCTCCCTGTAGACTTAAGCAGATATTAAACAGCATAGGGGGAAAGTTGACACTCTGTGGGATATCATGGGGTTTTGCCAAGGTGTCAAACACTAGCCCTTCAGCACCATAGAACTGGGGATATCACCCAACAGAAAGGACCAGAATCTTTGCAGAACAGAGTGCCCCATGGCATGATTGGTGACAATGGCAGCCACTGAGTTCCAAAGGAACTGGAAGAACTATGCTCCTCCATTCAGTTCCTGGCACAGGTGACCCATCAAGGCATTTTCAATCCTACCTCTCAGTCAAAAACTATTTTTTTAAAGAAAAGGCGAGACATCTTCCACATTCATCTTAGTTGTGCTACCACTTTCTGAATCACCATATGCAAAAATTGTATATTTGAGACCTGTCTGTAATTCTCCAACTTTTCCAGGAAAGGTTTATTTACTATAAGTATTTCCCTTTTCTAGAATGACAAGTTCCTTTTCCATAGAAGCATTAATTAATTAATCTTTCTCCAGGAGTTAGTCTCACTCTGGACAATATAACCAGCCCAGATGGGACACACATAGAGGAAGTAGGTGGAATGCTGCTTCTTTACATCCTTGATATCTAAACCTTAAAGGAATCTAAAACAACAACAGAAGTGGTTGCCAAGGTCAGATTATTATAACCTGCCCCAATACTGCAATCCAGAATGACTTACATTCTGGGAAAGAAAACATTGCAAAGTCCAAAGTCCTGTGTTGTCATGATGAAGGCAGAGGGGGGAAAGCCTATTTCACTTACTTCCTTGGTTAGACTGCAGTGGCATAACCCTCTTTCCCTGGAACAGTCAGGTTGGAATTTCCTGGCAGAATTCCTCTCTGCCTGCAATGATGTCAAGTGTCCCTCCTAGTAGGAGACATGACTGAATAAAAGAAGAGTTGGGTATGAAAAACAAACACCTGTATAATTCTATAGAAATTACAGAAACTAGTTGTTTATAATGCAGAATGTAGATATCTCTGCATAGCATGGCTGTTTTTGAATAGACACCACTTTGCTTCCTGTATTCAACATACTCAAGACACTTGTAGAGAGAATGAAACGTGGACTGATACATGGTGGTAGAGTGGGAGAGGCTCTCTGTGGATGATGGGATGATTAAGAACCATTTCCATATTTAGGACCAATGCAAAAACAACTCTCAGTCCCACTAAGCATTAACCAGTTAGAGGAATAGAGAGTGAGATTCCATAAACTTTTCTTTGACAGTCTGAGGCTTGGGAACTTGGTTGTCTTAAAACTAAAGAGACAAACACAAATGCTCAAGCACATTCAGTATGAGATCACAGAAGTTTTCCAAGTCATCAGGAATGTTCAGGTGTGGTGGAGAGACTGCGCACCTTTTTAGTCTTACATAACAGAGATCTGCTTTTTCCAGTCAAAAACTTTTATTGTTTTATTAATAAAAAGAGGAAGGATGAGACAGAAAGTCAATCTAGACACAACACAATTTTGTACACACTGGACACAAGGAGAGACAAAGGACCCCCCTCCTTGAAAATAAAAGCTGATTTTAAAAAAGTAATGGGAGGAGAAGAGGGATGAGGTTTTTCTTGAAAAATATAACTCTTAAGTGGTGAGTGAAGGGAAGAAAGGAAGTGGAAACAGCCTTTTAAAAATTCTGCAGGAAACAAAGCCAACTTTCTGTCTGTGCGCATTCCACTTCCTAAAGGTCAGCATCCCGATTTCTTCTCTTAACGATACAAGTTGTATCCTTCTCTCAAGCCTACATCCAGGTCACTTGAAGCACAGTTTCTTAGCTTTAAAATTCATCATTAAAAATAGTTATAAATTAAATTCAATCTCTGACTTTTGGTTTTGTTGTTTAAAAAATATAAACGAATAATTCTTTTCCAATGGGTGTACTTCCATTCTTCATATTGAATTATAAAGCCACTGCAGAGAGGGAGAGAAAAGACAAAATTAGGAAAAGCACTGTAGTGCGGAGTTGGGGGGGGGGAAGAAAACAAATGGTATTTCTGTATGTCTTTAAAAGCCTTCAATTGCTCTACTTTAGATTATGGCAATTACGTTGCGCTGAAACAAGAGAGTTTGCCAGGTCTTCTCAAAAGGAAGGTAGTTAAAAGAAGTGTTCTAAATAGATTTGGATATTCAACTTATCCAGAAAAGAACATTTCTCTTCTTCACCTCTGATTGAAGTTACCTAAAAAGGAAGGTACCAGAAAACCTTGATAGAAAAGCCGAGAGTAGCAGAAGTACAACTTGGTGAAATCAGTAGGTTCTCAAGTTCAACGTTGTGGTGATCTGAGCAGAGAATTCCTGTAATATAGCCTACAACATGCCCTCCAAGTATGGGACCAAAGTTCTGACAGGTTGTGATGGATAGGCATTATGAGTCAAAAATCACCTGGAGGGCACCAGGCTGAGAAGAGATCTAATTTATAGAGATCTAATGTAAACAGAATGTCTATGATGCTAAGACATTGGTTAAATTCATTGAAATCCCACTACTAAACATCGTAACTAATACAGACAAGGTAAAACTGAGATTAACTTCAGCTCAACTCCTGGTAATTACAACCATGCAGATTTCCTGACAGCATTATAGACATATTTGCCATTGCTTTCTTCTCCTTTGAATCAACTTTGACTCCTGGTGATTTTATGTACATGCTATTCTTTTGGCAATGAAAAAGAAAGAGTTAGCCATTGCCTTCTTTTGGAATTTTTTGTCTTTCTTCCCAGCCTGGCCAACTGCCCAGTCTGGCCAACACAAACCAACTAAATCCCTCCAAAACATCTTAAGTAAACCAAAAGACCCAGTAGCCGAAGAAGAAAAAACAGGAATCATCTGCAACATACAATGCAAAGCGTATAACAGCCATTATGTAGGACAGATTAGCAGAGCACATCAGAAGACACAATAAAAACTCCTTAGTCTAACAACACATCGACAGACTCAACCACAATTTCAACTGGGAAACATCCTAGAATGAGCTAAATCCAAAAACACTAGGGAATTCCTCGAAGCTTGGCATTTAGACAAATCAGCCATCAATAGATACATAGAAATAAACCATAGTTGCGCA